ATTCGGTGTCTGATTAGTCACAGGTCTGGCCATTTGTGGAGTGTGTGACACGGGATTCGACGGCTTCATGGCATTGGTCGCCGGCCGCGACATCGGATCAAACTTCTGATTATGAGGATTGGCTGCCGTGTGATGAGTGGGTGATTGAGATGAGCCCATAAGCATATCAATGATATTACGATTGGGTGAATGATATGAATTCGGTGAATGATCAGTAGTACCCGTCTGTCTGGCCATCGGTGGCATCATTTTGCTCTCCATCTGGTGCTGAGTGGGGACAGCGTTGGCGGGCATATCGTTATACATCTTCTGATTATTGGGCGCCTCTTTAGTGACCCATCGGTCGAAACGACTTTTGCCTTTACTCTCGACGGGCTCCGCGTTGTCCACAGAATTTGAGATTCCTTTCGGTTCTGAGTTCTGGCCGTTTTTGAACCAGTCGTCCATTTTGAACATCGCGTTCACATCAAACTCGTCGCTCGCGGTCTGCGGTTCACTCTTCGGCGCGTCAGTCACTCCGACGGAAGACGGTTTGGGGGGAGACGATGACTGCATCGACGGCCGTGCGCTCGGCTCTACTTTCTTCGGCTTATTCTCATTAATAGACGACTCTTTGCTCGGGGACTGAGCTTTGCCTTCGCTTGACTTACGGTGATTATCACTACCCCTTTCGTCGCCCTCAAAGCCGCCCAAATCCATGAATGTCATCGGCTCGTCGTCTGTGAACCACTCGGGCGTCTCCTCTTCGTATCGGTTCCGGTGTTCGTTTCGATAACCGTAACCTCTATTTTGCGGCTCATTATTCCTTTGATTCCTGAATCGATCCGATTTATTCCGCGGGTCGTTGTTGTAGTCGATGTCCGCGCGATCACTGCGTCCACCGCCGTCTCGACTGTCGCGTCGATAACCGCCGTTTCGATCGTAGTTTCTGTCGTTACCGCGGCTTTCATACCGTCTATCGCCGCCTTCGCGGTCAAACGCGCCACCGCTTCGTCTATCCTTATCGCCGTAATAATCACTCGACGGGAAGTCTCTGTCCTTCGCAGGGATGCGTCCGCTACCGACGTAACGCTCGGGTCGATCCATGTTTCGGCGATAACTATCCAAAACACCCATGGCTAGCAAGCGCAGAAGATCGCTTGCCAAGGCGAGCTATACGCATAGCGCTCTAGCCGAGAGTAATCACCGGTGAAACCGCCCGTCACGGCGGCCAACCGTCGGCACACGCTTTCTGTTCCGTTGGGGACTCAACACAATGTTGCCGAGCAGTCCATTGCCCTCTTCCTTCACCCTCTCCGTCAACTCGTTGGCCGTCTTTTTAGGGAAACTCTCGCTCCCATCGCGACGATTGTTACGACCATTTGTGGGGCCGCCGGACGCCGCCGACCGGTTGGACATCCATTTCTCGGGATCCCATAAGTTGTTAGCGCTTTAAATACAAAATAAAATCATAATTAAAACCAAAGGACACCAAAAACAAGTGCTTAAGAAACGGATTTATTTTGATAGTATTTGTGTGTGAAGTGTGCGCTTCCCGTCCGTGAGTTAGTCAGAAATAAGCGGAGGGGGAGGTGTCGGGGGTTAGAGGAGTCTAACCGTACGCTTTGGTTAATGTTATAAAATACAAATAAACTATATATGAAACGGATTGCCAGAGAAAGAGAGACCATAACCGCTAAAGACGTAACCATAACCACTGCAAAGAGACACTCACCGCGAGTCGTTGTAGCGATTGTTTGGATTCGGGTGTTCAGTGGGCGTCAGCTCCGGTGCCCTACAAGTCAGAGAACGTCACCGCAGAGAAAATGTATCAAACAATTCAATTAATACATGTTTACACACAATATATGTTAGTGTTTTGTGTCAACAAAGTGGGCGCCTCCGCCGCCACCAACACTAGTACACCGAGTAGTTCACAATAAGGACACCCAAAACACAGCCCCCGACCGCTCACACAACGAACTCCGGGGTCAGTAAGTGTTAGACAGATAGAGATAAAGTGAGTGTGTATTAAATGAAAACATAAAACCCATGAAAAGGCCCGGTATTTGACATACTTATTGAAAGCACTGTCCAGACATTTGGGACGAATACGAGCGGTGCTTAGCTTTGAGATCGCAATCAATTCCTCCTTTAGATATAATAATATCGTTAATCTATTAGACGACCAAAAATGCGAGTTTTGAGTCAACAATACCTTTGAATACTGATGTCTTGTGGACCCGTTGTCCGCGTATTTGGTTGTAGTGTTGACCACATCCTGATCGTCGTTCTCTTTGTCATCATTTTCACTGGTCTTGTCGTCGGTCTCGTCGGCCGGTGTCGTGGAACCGATGGGGGAGAACCTCAACAGATGGTCAGCGCTTTCTTCTTCTTTAATCGGTTCATCGGTTTTGCAGTCATTTTGGACATCGTTTTGGTCGCGATTCACGTCTGAGTAAAAGATAAGGACATTAATCAAGCGATACATTGGGTGTTGAAGACAATGACAATACCATTGTCTGGATTCATATCATCGGTTGATATCTGAGGCACTTGTTTGTTGTCAATGTCGTGAATCGGATCCACGATTGTATCAAAACATAAAACCCATGAAAAGGCCCGGTATTTGACATACTTATTGAAAGCACTGTCCAGACATTTGGGACGAATACGAGCGGTGCTTAGCTTTGAGATCGCAATCAATTCCTCCTTTAGATATAATATATCGTTAATCTATTAGACGACCAAAAATGCGAGTTTTGAGTCAACAATACCTTTGAATACTGATGTCTTGTGGTTGTAGTGTTGAACACCACCTGATCGTCGTTTTCCTTGTCATCGTTTTCACTTGTCTTGTCGTCGGTCTCGTCGGCCGGTGTCGTGGATCCGATGGGAGAGAACCTCAACAGATGGTCAGCGCTTTCTTCTTCTTTAATCGGTTCATCGGTTTTGCAGTCGTTTTGGACATCGTTTTGGTCGCGATTCACGTCTGAGTAAAAGATAAGTACATTAATCAAGCGATACATTGGGTGTTGAAGACAATGACAATACCATTGTCTGGATTCATATCATCGGTTGATATCTGAGGCACTTGTTTGTTGTCAATGTCGTGAATCGGATCCACGATTGTATCCATTAGTATTGTGTTTAACGATAATCAAAGTCAACGCTTGACTTCAACTATCAATGAGTTGTTATATTACAGTATATATGAAAAAATGGCTCAAAAAATGATTTATAAATTACAATAAAAACGTGTTTTTGTTTTTCAACTTTTGTTTTATATTAAATGACTGTAAAAAACGGCGAAATTATTACTAATATTATTACAAAAAATCTATCGCTTTATACAAATTTAAATTACAATTAAGTTATTGTTTTGCGATTTAATAAACGGATTGTTATTATTATTACTGATTTATTAATGAGATGTAAATCTCAATGAAATGCGAGAAAACAACAGAAAAAATCACTTTAAAAATGAGCCAAAAATTGAGACCAAAAACAAAATGACATTAAATTTACAGCAGATATGAGTGAATCAAAAAACACAACAAAACAATTAGTTTTGATTTCTTCTTCTTGTAATCGAAATGACTGTTGAAATCAATTATATTATCAGTTTTCACCATATATTCAATGCTCGCGTTGTGTCGGATGTGTTGTTACGTTAATCATAAGTATAACTCAATTGAAATGACAATTAAATGGTATATAATATATGGGTTTTGTATCGGATTTGGTATTCAATGTTGTGTTTTGTGTGGAAAGACATGTATTACTGGTCTCTCTCATCAAATGAGTGGTTGTTTTGCACTCCGAGTCGACAGTACTGTAGTGTTCAGTATATTCACTGTATGTCTGCCACCAAACAAAATGTCAGCACTGATTGTATGCTTGCCTTACACTACATCACTGACAGCCAATCACTGCTCACCAGTGAGTCTCACAATTGTAAAGTGTATTCACTTTATCTGTTGTCCACTCATTTGAGTCAACACTCGCTAAGCCTTTAATACCCAAAGCATTACTAATAAGCCATTCATTGAGACAATTAGAGTAGAGTTGACTCAATTGTGACCATATTTAATGAGATGATGACATTTTCAGCTAGAATTGAGTCATTGTTTAATCAGCACTAAATGCGTTCAAATGTAGCGCTCAATGAGTGACCCCTCCCTATAAAGTGGTCAATGCTTTTATTAAACACTATAAGCCAGGCATGTGTTGTGTGGCAATCGTGGCCGAGTGGTTAAGGCGATGGACTTGAAATCCATTGGGGTCTCCCCGCGTAGGTTCGAATCCTGCCGATTGCGAAAACTTTTTTTACCAACTTTTCTCACATACAATACCTTTTTTCTCGTTATTCTGTAGCCTATGTTAGTGTATGACTTGTTACAGTGAACTTACATTTGTAAATTATGTGATTTTTGATTACTTTATGATAGTTTATTGAAATCCTGTAACTTCTGTAAAGTATGTCTATTTTATAATTGTTTTGACGCCAAAACCCCGTTATAATGAAGTCCATTGAAGTCCAAACTTTTTGATGTTTAAAACTTTTTAGTTGTTTTATTGTAGTTCACAAAGTTGTCAAAGTTTTACTATTAGTTAGAATGAAAGCAATGATATATTTGATGAATAAATGTTGAAAAGTAAAGTTATAATAATAATTTGTTTTTAATAATTAATTGTATTAAGTCTTTGTTGACAAATAAACAAGTAATTTATCATTTAATCCACAATTTTGTGTTAAAAAACAATTTTCGAGTTAAAAAGACGTCAAAAATTGGATATTCTTCTCGTATGCGATGTTTTCGTTCATTCAATTACTTTAAATCATTTGATCGAAAATCATAGACAAAAAATATACATATAATTGAAGTAATTATTATTAAAAACCATAATAATTGTGTGAAATAAGGCTTTGAATGATAATTGGATGAAAGTTATTGTCCATAGAATGATAGAAAGGGAAGGAGAGGGAGGAGAGAGAAAGAGAGAGAAAGAGGCGCCGAATAATCAGAAGATGTATAACGATATGCCCGCCAACGCTGTCCCCACTCAGCACCAGATGGAGAGCAAAATTATGCCACCGATGGCCAGACAGACGGGTACTACTGATAGAGAGAGAGAGAGAGAGAGAGAGAGGGAGAGAGAGGGAGAGAGAGAGAGAGAGGGAAAGAGAATGGAGATAGAGGTAGCGATGAAATGTGTAAATACGGATATAAATCGCGATTTGAATTATTATATTATATACCGTATGTATATTGAAGAAGACTAGGCGTAAAATTTAATGTTAAAAAATTGTTTTTAATTATTAATATGTATTTTTTTGTTTCATTTAAATAAACCAAAAAAAGGATTTCTATATCAATGAGAAAACCCTATACTTTAAGTTTGGGGATAAAAAACATAACATTATTACCATAATTGGTATCGATTGAAAGGAATGACCGTCAGGTATACGGCATACAAAACTTATATATGGAAAGGCATTTGGGGTTATAGTAGAGAGGATGGGATAGAGAGGGGGGTAATAACTGGCGATACAAATTGTATAGTAATTATATAATTATAATCATAAGAATTATCGTAAAATTTATATATAATTTGTTTTTCTTATAATCGTTTTGTTTGATGTATTGTTTTGTTGATTATTTGTTTGTCTGTATTGAGTCTTTTAATGTCACATTTAAATTAAGCTAATAATTGTAATCCTAATCCTATCTGTGAGCGCCTCTAGAAGTGGATGGTATTAGACACGGATGCGAATGGATTTCTATTGTTTGGTCGTTTAAATGAGGCACAAAAGGTGGTAATTGAACGCCGCCTATAGTTGTGGTCGTAGTGGCCATACATATGGAGAGAATAATAATAATTGTCATACGATTAGTATTGAAAGTGAGCTTTAATTGAGTGATGGCTTTCTCTCATTACCCGATAGTAAGCCGTTGTCGACGACGACGTTTGCATTGATCGCTGCATTCGTTGAATTATTCCTAACTCTTCGACTATTTTGTGGATAAATGCCGGTCTGTCCGACACCGACGGGTGTGGCGCTGCCCGGCGTACCCGCACCTCCGCCGCTAACAGTGGTGCCGTTATTTCGGGTCAAATTCAATGCGTGTGAATGATGTGATTGGATGTGATTGTTGACGACTTGGGCACCTGTCGGCGGCACACCAGCGCTCTGTTGACGGTCAGCGTCTGTCCCGTCAATCGCGTTATGCGTCCGATTTCCGCCCTTTTGTACATAACATATAAAACATGTCACAAAACGATAAGCAGAGGGAGGGAGGGGTGTGAATAGGGAAAGGGATGTGAGTGTGGGATACGTACAAACTTCAACATATTCCAGTCAAACACGTAGTCGTAAGTAAAGCCCTGTCGATGAAAGAGATTTCTCAAGAGTTGCCGTAAATACGAGTAATCGGGCTTTTCATCGAAGCGAAGGGCGCGGCAGTAGTTGAGGTAAGTGGCGAACTCCGCCGGAAAGCCCCGACACAACTCGTCGATCGGAGTGGACATCTTCTTCTCGCTGATCCGCTCGTACTTCTGGCGTTTGGTCGCCGCCCGCAGGCCCTGCCAGGGAAGCGATCCCCGATTGAAGTACATTAACACATAACCCAATGACTCCAAGTCGTCGCGACGGCTTTGTTCTGCACCACAACACACACACCAATCAGACAAGTGATGGTCAATACAATGGACAACAAAGTGATGGTATATAACGTACCGATTCCTAAGTGAGTGTTAATGGAAGCATATCTAGCAGTTCCGGTCAGGTTCTTGTTCTCCCGGTAAGGGATGTGAACGTGTGTCCGATTGTCGCGATATTTTTTGGCTAAACCGAAGTCAATAATGTACACCAAATTACCCTTCTTTCCTAAACCCATTAGAAAGTTATCCGGTTTTATATCGCGATGAATGAAATTTCTGGTGTGAATGTATTCAATACGACTGATCTGTATTTAGGGGACAACACAAAGACATTAGCGATGCAAACAATAGGGTTGTCGACGAGGATTATAAATACCAATTGATCCGCTAATAAGAGTACAGTTTTGAGACTGAATTTTCGACTGCAAAAGTTGAACAGATCCTCCAGTGATGGGCCCAATAGTTCCATAACCATCACGTTATAGTCGCCTTCAGTGCCGCACCATTTGATCACTGGTATACCCACTGCACGGACGACAACACACATCGGGTTATCACATATCAACACAATAGACAACAAAGACGAGAGAGCCGTCATTGCCATCTGTCTCAAGACATACCTCCGCCGACCATCAGTTTGTAAAACTTGGACTCGATGTGCAATTCCTAAGTGAGTGTTAATGGAAGCATATCTAGCAGTTCCGGTCAGGTTCTTGTTCTCCCGGTAAGGGATGTGAACGTGTGTCCGATTGTCGCGATATTTTTTGGCTAAACCGAAGTCAATAATGTACACCAAATTACCCTTCTTTCCTAAACCCATTAGAAAGTTATCCGGTTTTATATCGCGATGAATGAAATTTCTGGTGTGAATGTATTCAATACGACTGATCTGTATTTCGGGGACACAAAGACATTAGTGATGCGGACAATAGGGTTGTCGACGAGGATTATAAATACCAATTGATCCGCTAATAAGAGTACAGTTTTGAGACTGAATTTTCGACTGCAAAAGTTGAACAAATCCTCCAGTGATGGCCCCAATAGTTCCATAACCATCACGTTATAGTCGCCTTCAGTGCCGCACCATTTGATCACTGGTATACCCACTGCACGCAAGACAACACACATCGGGTTATCACATATCAACACAATAGACAACAAAGACGAGAGAGCCGTCATTGCCATCTGTCTCAAGACATACCTCCGCCGACCATCAGTTTGTAAAACTTGGACTCGATGTGCAAGACAACACACATCGGGTTATCACATATCAACACAATAGACAACAAAGACGAGAGAGCCGTCATTGCCATCTGTCTCAAGACATACCTCCGCCGACCATCAGTTTGTAAAACTTGGACTCGATGTGCAGCTGCGGGTGCTTTGTCTTAATGCACTCCAACTTAATGGCCACCTCTTCAGTGGTCGATATGTTTGTGCCTATAAATCAAACCAAATAAACAATGAGATGTGTTGTGATCACTGTTGTGGTCAGTGATGGCGGTTGTGGTGAATGCATACCGAGATATATGTCGCCAAAAGAACCGGAACCGATCTTTCGGCCCAAACGATACTTATTGCCCACTCGGAGCTCCATTTGGTGTTTGGGATCCGTTCGGTGAGTATTGAGTGGCGATCGGTCCGTCTCTGCCAACAGGTATCGCAGCCAATGGTTAGCCAAACATTATCTGTCGCTGTATTGTATGGGGAAGTGATAAGTGATGTACAGATGATGTCTATTCAGTATATCTTGAGCTCAACGACAATACAGTGTTGGATGCGTTGGTCTGTGTGTAGTGGACACGAGTGCTGTGCGAAGTGAACGCTTGTGAATGGCTGTAGTGGTGGTGGCGGTGGTGCTGATGGTGCGGATCAGTTAGTGGTGACAGTTATTGGTATGAAATAAGTGGTGAAACAAAACAAATAAAGACAACACGTATTGCGTATGACTTGTAATCACTGAATGACTGACTCTATGGTTGACTGCTATGGAGTCACTCAACTCACACACCATTCACACTATAAACACATACACTCGCACTCACTGTACTTATGGAGTACTCACGAACGGCATAATGGGGTACAGCGTATGCACAACACACACAACGCTGTGCACAATGCGCTACCCATTCATATGCACTGTATCTGTATTTTTCACGATATGTTATACTTTTTTCTCATAGATATTGTTGTTTAGCACTTGTTTTTCGCCGCTTTTCCCATATATTCACTACTTTTTTGTCATATATTTATCTTTTCTCTATTTCTTTGGCTTTTATTGATTTGTGTTTCCCTTAATTGCAATGCATTTCTCCTCCTCTTTGAAGTGCTTTTTTTGGTTTGACTCGAGTTTTGATACAATGTTTTGTTCGTTGAGTCCAACAAACAATTGATAGCCTTTTTATTAAAGGGATGTCTACTTAAGTCTCTCTCCCAATGCCTCCCAATATATCGCTCTCTGAGTCCCTCTCACTGTCTGTCTATGTATTGAATGAATACGTTATTCACTGTTTGCCAAACAATATTGACCTTCAATTCAATACCACTTTCACAATAACACTCACAAACAGGGCTAACAAATACACCGCTCATTACCACCACAATAGGCGTGATTAACCTTCACTGCCATACATAACCACAGCGAGCGCTACGAGTGGTGTAGTTATACGCAAAGCAGTGAAGTAATCGCTGATTTCAAAAGGGGTTAATTGTTCGGTGGGTAGACATGACTGAAATATAGCCCCAAAAGAGTGTTTTAAGCCGTAATTGATTGTAAAAATGCATTAATGAATGAATAAATGGTTTGAATTTAACACTCATTTTGAATGTATTGACAAAAACAACAATTTATTTATTGTTTTGTGATTTGGT